CCTAATCCAATGAAATGCTCAACTTCTTTAGCATAGTAAGCAGAGGCATTCAGCAGCAACATATCTTCTGATTTTTACAGGCAGGTTTTCTTGGTACCTCTCCTTTAGCAATACCCTTTTTTTCTTTTTCCCTCCTTCAGCATTAGAAGCAGATGGCAAGAGCTAGTAGATTTTAAAGGGTAGCCCAGAGAGAGAAGATACTCTCATATTAGGCTCCTTGGTGTTGGGCCAGCACTTGTTTTATTTATCACTTTAACTTTATTTTTAACTTATTCTAGAAAGTGCACTTCATAAAAGGAAAAAACAAAATCATATTTATCTGTAATCCCAACACAATTTTTTCTGGTGATATGTTTTTACAGAGTTATAATTAAAATGTCTATACAATTGTGTATTCTATTTTTGCCCTTTAACTTCTTAACTTTATTGTATTTAGGCTTTTCTAAGTTTATTGCAGTTCTCAGAATTGTGATTTTTATTGTCTACATAATATTCTATTCAATCTATGTGTCTTTTTTTCTTACTAAACTTAACTACTCTAGCTCCTTTTCGCTAATAACATTTTTTGAGATTATGCTTAATGGCTTGTCTACATAATATTCTATTCAATCTATGTGTCTTTTTTTCTTACTAAACTTAACTACTCTAGCTCCTTTTCGCTAATAACATTTTTTGAGATTATGCTTAATGGCATGTACAATGTATTTGTATATATAGTTTTTCCCTTCCTTTGAATAATTACCTTAGTGATAAATTACCAAGAGTGGAATTACTATGTGAAAAGGCATGAATATGTTTTATGATTTCTGATATATATTGCCAAATTCCCCTTCAAAAGAATTGTCCTAATTTATCTTGCTGCAGGAACAGTATGAAGATAGTTTCTTTATCCTTTCCCTCCAAGCCAAACCAGCATTGTGTTTGATAATATTTGCTACTTTAATAAGTATAAAATGACTATTGTTCTTCAGTACCAGTGTGATTGAATGTTCTGAATCAAATCATCCAAAAACCAGAAGGAATCTTAGATCTGGGTTTAAATCTGGGTCATCCCTTAACCTTATTCCAGTGCTCCCTACCCCCCTATTTTTCTGTATATATTGTCTGTTTCATACCTTTTCCAGCTGTTTAATCATATCGGTTGCTGGAGAGTGGGGAGGGGAAAGAGACAACTATAAAAACATTCAAGTTATTCCATGCCACATGTTTCTCTTTTTTTAAAATATATTTTTTATTGATTTCAGAGAGGAAGGAAAAGGGAGATAGAAACATCAATGATAACAGAGGATCATTGATCTGCTGGGATCAAGCCCACAAACCAGGCAAGTGTCATGACCCAAATAAAAGACCATGACCTCTTGGTTCATAGGTCAACTCTCAACCATTGAGCCATGCTGCATGTTGCTCTTTTGTACTAGAAAAGAAATATCAGGATGCCAGATATATACAAGTTGATTATGAAGGGAGGATAAAAAAGGCAAACTGATGAGTACTACCTAAGAATGGAGAAAATCACCAATGGAAAGACCCGCGGGAGATCTATCCAGTATCGCTGGTACCTGTTGTTTTCTGTTGAGGCTGCCACCTGCTCTACACTTCTGCTTGACAAGGGGCTGATGGAGCTATGCAAGAAAGTGTTCTACAGCACTCCACCTGAATATTGGGCTTTCAGGGAGAGTTCCCTGATAGCAAGGTTCCATGAGGCTACCACAAGGTGTCCCTGCAAGAGCATCCAAACAGTATGTGGAGGATGCCTGCCAACACATTCAGGTCCTCGGGAAAGTCTATTCCATTCTGAGTGACAAAGAGCAGAGAGCAGGATATGAGGAACAGTGGACTAGGATTCTCATGTGCTCAACCAAGATTATGACTGGGAGGGATATTGGTACACACTCTTTAAAAAGATACATCTAGAAGACATTCAAGCAAAGATATACAAAGGTTCTGAGGAAGAATTGGCTGATGTTAAACAGGCTTATCTGGACTTCAAGGGGACATGGATCCTTTCCTGGAGCTTGTGCTGTGAGTGCATATACAGAGGAACCCAGGATAAGAACCATTATTCAATAAGCCATTGATATTTTGACATATAATACCCTGGCCAAAGAATCAAAGCAGAAGATGAATGTAAGGACAAGGAGGGCTCAGGAAGAGGCTAAAGCAGCAGAAATGAGCAGAAAGGAGTTGGGATTTGATAAAGGAGTAGGTAACTTGAAGGCAGTCATTCAGTGCAAACAAAAGGATCAGCAAGCTCTAGACTAGGGGTGTCGAACTCAATCAGAGAAGGGGCCAAAATCTAAAATCCAGCCTAAATCGCGGGCCTAATGGTTTACTGAACAGTCATAAACTGTCACTGTGATGGAAATGCAGCGGAGTGCAGTGATGACAGCGCGGTGCGGGCCACATTGCAAGGCCTGGCGGGATGGATTTGGCCCGCGGGCCTTGTGTTTGACACATGTGCTCTAGACAGAGAGTGTTTCTCAGTGGGTTGACCGTTGTGTTGAGGTTTGATTCCATACAGGGCACATGCCCAATTTGTGGTTTGGTGAGTATGGGAGGCAACTAATCCATGTTATCTCTCTCTCTTTCTCTCTCTTTCCCTCTCTCTCTCTCTCTCTCTGCATTTTTGCTGCTTTCCTGAGTTGGTATGATAGTTTTGTGAGCTAGGTTTCTTAAATGGCCCACTGGGTCAGCCCCCCAAGTCACCTTAGGTGGACACTCTTGGTGCACCCCTTTGTGGTCTGTGTGTACAGCCCTGTTATAGTTAAGTCTTGATTGTTGTTGGTATTACTGGGAGGAATTGACCTCCAGGCCAATTGGCTATGTATATCAGCTGTGTTTATACTGGGAGACCTTATGTACTGGAGACAGCCTTATAGGACCAGACTTGCAAAATTTCAAAAGCCTCTGTGCTCAGCTTAGATGGGGCAGAGTCTCAGGGCTGAGCAGACATTCTTAGCTTCCTGTCAGCCCTGCCCTTGCACGTGTGCATCCAGACCTCTGCTTTCCTTGGCTTCCCTGAGTTTCCACCTGACAGTACATATTCCCCCAGGCTTGCATGGAACTAAGGTTCAGTGCAGTCAGAACTGGGGTTCAGTGCAGTCAGGAGCTTCCAGCTCCCTTCCACTAGGGAGAGCTAATGGCAACGATCAGTCAGTCTTCTCTGAATGCACTTTTGCATATGCCTCCTGATCCCTGCCCGCAATAGCTTTCCCGAATCTTTGAGTCTCTAAGTCTCTGGGTCTCTGAGTCTCTGAGTCTCCTTGTGCCTTTCTTTCTACCTGACAGTACAGACTCCCCTCGTATGAGCCTGGATCCACAGGGTTTTGCCCGGAACGGGGTTCAATGCAGTTAGAACTGGGGTTCAGTGCAGTCGGGAGCTTCTTTCCCTCTCCTGCCAGAGAAAGCCAGCCAGGCACTCAGCAACCCTTCCTCTATGTGTGCATGTCTCTGTATCTCAGCCCCTTGCAGATCCTCTGATTCTCTGTGAGCTTTTCTCTTTCCTTTTAGTTGTAGAATTTCCACTTAGCCAGATTTCCTGTGGTTCTGGATGATGTTTGTTCTGTCTTTTAGTTGTAGTTTTGAAATTGTTCGAGGCAGCAGTTTTGGTGTTTACCTATGCCGCCATCTTGGTTTGTTCTGGGCGCTCCCTTGTAGGTAACTAACTGCTCTAAAGAATTTCTCTTTGTCTTTAACACTTGGCATTTTAATTTTGATATGCCTTTGGATTCCTCTTGTTTGAGACTGTCTGCACTTTCTGGACTTGTAAGTCTATTTCTTTTACCAAGTAATAGGTTTCCAATATTTTGCTCTCTTTCTTCTTCTTCTGGCACCCACATAATGTGAATGTTTATGTGCTTAAAGTTGTCCCAGAGGCTCCTTACACTATCTTCATATTTTTTGATTCTTTCTTCTTTTTTATCTTCTGTTTCTTGCTTCCTAATATTCTAAGTCATTGATTTGATTCTCAGAATTCTCTCCTCTACTGATGAATCTTTATAAAGTATTACTTATTTCAGTTAGTGTATGCTTAATCTCTGACTGTTCTTTTTTTGTGTCTTTGAAATTCTCGTTAAGATCCTTTAAAAAAAAATTATTGTTGAGAGTATTACAGATGTCCCTCTTTTTTTCTCCCAATTTTCCCACTCCAACCAGTTCCTGCCCCACTGCAGGCCTTAACCACCTAAAAGTCTGTGTCCATAGGTAATGCATATATGCATATAAGATCTTTGTTTAATTTCTTCCTGTCCCCCACCCCCTTCCCTCTAACAATTATCAGTCTGTTCCATTTCCATACCTCTGATTCTATTTTATTCACCAATTTATTGTTCATTAGGTTTCTTATTCATTTATTTTGATTTTTGGATTCAATTATTGATAGATATGTATTTACTGCCTTTTTATTATTCATATTTTAAAATATATATTTTATTGATTTTTTTACAGAGAGGACGGGAAATAGATAGAAAGTTAGAAACATTGATGAGAGAGAAACATCGATCAGCTGCCTCCTAATACCTCCTACTGTGGATGTGCCTGCAACCAAGGTACATGCACTTGACTGGAATTGAACCCAGGACCTTTCAGTCTGCAGGCCAATGCTCTATGACTAAGCCAAACCAGTCAGGCAAATTGTTCATATTTTTAATCTTTTTTTTCTTCTTCTTTCTCTTCTTAAAGAATGCCTATATATTTTTTTTATATAATATTGGTTTGGTGGTGATGAACTCCTTTAGCTTGTTCTCATCTGTGAAGGTCTTTATCTGACCTTCAATTATAAATGATAGCTTTGCTGGTTAAAGTAATCTTGGTTATAAGTCCTAGGTTTTCATAACTTTGAACATTTCTTGCCACTCCCTTTCGGCCTGCATAGTTTCTGTTGAGATATCAGCTAATGATCTTATGGGTGATCCCTTGTAGATAACTAACTGCTTTTCTCTTGATATTTTTAAGATTCTCTCTTTGTGGTTAGCCCTTGACATTTTCATTATGATGTATAGTGGTGAGGTTCTCTTTGTGTTCCTCTTGTTTGGGACTCTGTGCTACCTGGACTTGTAAGTCTATTTCTTTCACCAGAGAGGGGAAGTATTATGTCATTAGTTATTCAGACAGGTTTTCAATGTCTTGCTCTCTATCTTCTTCTTTTGGCATACCCATAGTGCAAATATTGGTATGCTTGAAGTTGTCTCAGAAGCTCCTTATACTATCTTCATATTTTTATTTTTTATTTTTATTCTTCTGATTTGGTGTTTTTTGTTTTATATTTCAAATCATTGATTTGATTCTCAGAATCCTCTCATCTACTGCTGGATCTTTGTAAATTAGTCTTTATTTCAGTCAGTGTATGCTTAATTTCTGACAGGTCCTTCTCCAGGTCTTTGGCATTCTTACTAAGATCCTTGAAAGTCTCACTAAGTTCCATGTAGGCCTCATGAAGATTCTTAAGTAACCTTATAACAGTAGTTTTGAACTCTATACCAGTAGTTTGCTTTCTTCCATTTCTTTCAATTGTGACATGTGTCTTTGTCTCCACATTTTGATTGCTTCCCTGTGTTTGTTTCTATGTATTGCATACAGCTTCTGTTTCCTTGAGTTGGTACAGTAGCTTTGTGTAGTAAAGTGGCCTTTTATTGATAAGTTTGGGCCTCCCTGACCTAGGTGCAGTTTGTTTGAAAGATTTTAGCAAAGTCTGAAGCCTGAGCTTGGTCATGCTATTCATATTCAAAAGCTGCTGCAAATTGGATTGGGCAGGGTCTCAGGGAATAACCAGGATAGAGCAAACAGAATTGGCTGCCAGTCAGTCATGAGGCATAAGAACAATGACCTCTGCTAGCACCTCCATCTGTGAAAAAGTCACCCCCAAGTTACTTCCCTGATGCCATACAATCCAGTTCCTCATATATGTCTGGGTCCCCCAGAGCCTCATCCTGGTGCTTGAGCTCAGAGTAAGCAGGACCTTGTAATCTGAGTTCATGTTCTCGCCCTTTAAGAGGAAAAGCTGAATCTCTAGAAGCCTCTATGTCACTGGATCCCAATACCTGCTGGTTTTTACAGCCCATAGTTTCATATTTATAGCCCATAGTTGTGTACTTACTCTTCCTAGATCGGGGAGCCTGGGCTTGGGATCTGATGTGGGCTGGGATCCCTTGCTCCTCAACAGTGGCCTCTGTAGAGATGATGTTCCTCCCGTTTAAGAAAATGGCACACGTGAGTGTCATTCCAGCCCATTCCATGCTTCCACACTCTCCTACCACTCCCAATGTGCTTTATTATTTATTTCTCTGGTTGTAGAACTTCAAGTCAGCCAGATTTCAGGTGGTTCTGGAGGATGCTTATTTTGTATTTTAATTGTAATTTTGATGTGGTTGTGGGAAGTGGAAAGTGCATGCATTTTCCTATGCTATCATCTTGGTTCCCTTGCAAAGTTCCTGAAAGTCTCCCTGAGTCCCTTGAATTTCTTATTATGTCCCTTGAAGCTCTCTTTAAAATCCTTGAGTAACTTTATAACCATTGTTTTGAACTCTGTATCCAGTAGTTTCCTTGTTTTCATTTCTTTCATTTGTGACATGTTTCAGTCTCCCCATTTTGGCTGCTTCCCTGTGTTTGTTTTTATGTATTAAGAAGAGCTGCTATGTTTCCTGGAGTTGTTAGAGTGACTTTGTGTAGTAGGCATCTTATAGGGTCCAGTGGTTCAGCCTCCCTAGTCACCTGAGCTGGGCACTCTCGGTGTGCCCCTATGTGGGCTGTGTGCACAACCTTGTTGTAGTTGAGACTTGATTGCCGTTGTTGTCACTGGGAGGAATTGACCTCCAGGCCAATTGGCTGTAAGGATCAGCTGTGACTACAGTGGAAGAGCAGCTGTGCAGGGGACACCCCTATGGAGCAGGACTGGCTTCAGTGGGTCTTTGGTGTTCAAGTATGCCCCTTGAGAGTGTCAATTGTGGATATGTAAAGTTGTAATCTGATATGGTTTGAAGCTGTCCAGCAGGTGATCTGACTCTTGGGTCTCCAGGGGTGGGGAGGGTGCATAATCAGCCACTTCCTGGGGCCACCCAGCAGGAGCTATGGTGAGATCTTCAGATTCCTCCTATTTGTTTCAGGTTTGGAAGTGCTCAGGCAAAGCCCAGCTGTGAAGCAAGGCAGGGCCTTGCTAGTGCTTGATCTTGGGCCTTTTATTGATAGGTTTGGGGGCCCCTGACCCAGCTTCAGCTTGTTTGAGAGATTTTAACAAAGTCTGGAGCCTGAACATGGACAGGCCATTCATATGGAAAAGCCACTGCACACAGGTTGGGTGGGTCTTCAAATTGGATAGAGAGGGGTCTCAGGGAATCACTAGAGCAGGCTGATGGAGACTCAGAGATGGCTGCCAGTCAGTTCTGAAAATGGGGAGGTCTCATCAGAGAAACAATGAACCCTGTAAGCACTCTTGTCTGTGATAAATCCACCCCTAAATTCTTGCTCCAATGCCAGAAAATCTAGTTCCTGCATTGCGGGGGCCTGATGTGGTGGGGGCCAGACATGGTGGGGATCTCTTTTCTGCATCCCGCACAGAAAGAGAGATAAACAAACCGGTTCTAAGTGAAGGTGGCCGGGGGTTGAGAAATATTAGAAATAAAGAGAGAAGGCACAGAGATAGATTTCAATCTGGGAGCTGAGTGAGCCGCCATATTGTCTGCTGGGGAGGCAAGAAGACAATGACAACCCCTCCCAATGCATTTATTTTATACCCTCAATACCAGGAAGTAACACCAACTTATTTGCATTCTTAAGTAGGCCCTATAATGCCTGGATTTACATATCTAGTCCCATCCCTGCTGACACCTGGGCTGATATGAAGGCCAAGATGACGACATGTCCACCATCTTGGGGAAACATGTTCCCAAGGTGTGGCTCTGCCTACGCCTTGAGTTCAGCTGACAATAATTAAGGAAAATTGCCCATGTGCCTTCCCAGGCAGCCCTCTATGCTGCCTGAATGTCCTTGGTTCCTTTCAAGTTGCTGCCCCAGCGCTGGATGTCAGAGGGATCAAGTTCAAGTAAGTTTGTGCACTGGCCTTTTAAGAGGACCACCTGAGTCTCCAGCAGCCTCTGTGTCCCTCAGCCTCAATCCCTGCTGCTTTTTAAAGTCCAAAGTTATGGTGACTTCTCTTCCCAGTTGTGGAACCCTGAGCTGAGGGTCTGTGTGGGATTGGGACCCCTTGTACTTCATTGTGGAGAGTTTTGGAGATTCTGCTGCAGAAATATCCCTTCTGATTAAAGAAAAATGGCACACTTGGGTGTTGGACCAGCTTGTTCCACACTTCTACCCCTTCTACCAGTTGTGATATACTTTCTTCTTTATTTCTCTCATTATAGATGAGTACATGCATTTACCTATGCTGCCATCTTGGTTTCTCCTCTTCTTGAGGATTTTAAAATCTCTACCATGATATTTTAAGGAGAGGAATTCAAAACAGCAATTATATTAGCCATAACTTAAACCAATTATTCCTCCAGCAAGCTCTTCTCAGAATTTTGTTCTCTAGCTTCCCCAAAATACATTTTTGGAGGAACAAATTACTTTGATAACAAGTTTTTGGTCCCACTAGAATCTGCAAAAAGAAAGCCCTGAATTGGCCAGAATAGGACTGATCATCTCCTCAGAGGTTGGTGTGGTCCTCAGAAGTCAAGTGGTAGTTCTGCCAGTGGGTTTTGACCTTAATCAGTAGCTTTATGTAGAAATTATTTGTACTAGAAATTTTTCATTTCTCCATCAAATTTCAAAATTATTAAGTGCATTTAAGGGACAGGTTAGCAGATGGTTCTTTAGAAATAAATGTTACTAATTGAAGAATTAAAATCAGTTATACAGATCCTTTTGGTGATGGGATTCTGAAACAGTCAATGTAAGGTGAGGATTTATAATCAGCTAGTTGAATACTGGAGTGAAACTGGGGGGAAAATGGAGGGCTACCTAAAGACAGAGTACAAACTAGGAAAATTATTGGGGATTGGTTTAAAATTGAACTAGATGTCAGAAGCAAAGTCAGTGATTTCTAATTTCCTATTTTCTGCTTTTGGTTCAGCAGAAGTAAAAGAAAAGTAATTTATGTTTTGAAAATGCTTTTGATTGTCAAGTATAGGTACATAAGTTAGTGTATCTATACTAATGTATATTATTAGTATCTATAGATATACATTAGTATTCATACTAATGTATATTGTGGTGAAAGAAGGGAAGCAGAATTTGTTCTAGTCTAATTAATTCATAACTTGATGGGCATGATAATTAGCCTTTCTGGACTTTAGTTTTTTCTTCTGAAAAATGAATAGGTTGAACTAGGTATTCTCAAAACTGTCTTCTAGTTCTGACCTTTTGAGTCAGCTATAGAAGCTGAGAAAAGATAATCTCCACAACTTTCCGAAGACTGGGGATTAAACCAAATGGAGCTCTGCTAAATTAGGAGTATCACACCAGGTGTTATAGGACTAAGGCCTTTGGTATAAAGTTCTAGTGGGTAGTAGTGACACTTAGGTCATGTAGCTCCTCTGGACTACCAGTTTCTTTCCTCTTAGTAGCCAGTTTTTTAATAGTAATTTGCCACATTGCTAAGGGCAGCTTATTTTGCTCAGGCATGGACTTAGTGTCTCAACTATTATTTCTATAAATTTTAGAGATTTGCAAAGGAGTCCTTTGTGGAAGCTTGTATTTCAGTGCCCATTGCAATAAAGAATATTTAAGTCAATCCAAGCCTATATTCCTACAATTAATTTGAGATATGTTCATACAGGAAAAACAACAGTCCTAAACTGACACAGTTGAACTATATAAAAAGAAAGGTTAAGATGTTTGTCAGGTTTGCCTACTGGATTTGGACTCCTAAGCATTCATTAGTTCAGAGTTAATGAAAGATATGTGAGCTCTGAGTACCTAGGGCCAGTGCCCACTATTTTTTTTTTAATTCTTTATTGTTGAAAGTATTACATATGTCCCCTTTCCCTCCCATTGACCTCTCCCAGCCTGTCCTTGCCCCCCAGCCCAGGAGTTTACCCTGCTATGTGTCCATTGGTTATGCTTTAATGCATACAAGTTCTTTGGTTGATCTCTACCCGCCTCCCCTACCTTCCCTCTGAGGTTTGACAGTCTATTCAATGTTTCTATGTCTCTGGATTTATTTCTATTCATCAGTTTATGTTGTTCATTATATTCCACAAATGAGTAAGATCATATGATACTTATCTTTCTCTAACTGGCTTATTTCACTTAGCATAATGCTCTCCAGGTACATCCATGCTGTTGCAAATGATAATAATTCTTTCTTTTTTTACAGCTGTGCAGTATTTCACTGTGTAAATGTGCCATAGTTTTTTAATCCACATATTTGCTGATGAGGGCTCAATAACTTTTTGAAAGGTAGAAAGATAAATGAATGAAGTTACAAATCAACAACTGAAATAATTAATACAAGACCTTTTCGGAAGTTTTCACTGAGACTGTTCCTTTGCAATAACATCATTTATTTTTGGTGCTATTGCATATACAGTCATATCTTCAAGATATTGTAAGTTAGATTCCAGACCACCACAATAAAGCAAACATTGCAATAAAGTGAGTAACATGAACTTTTTGGTTTTCCAGTGCATATAAATCTTGTGTGTACAATATACTGTAGTCTCATAAGTGTACAATAGCATTATGTCTAAAAAATGTGCATGCCTTAATTTAGAAATATTTATTACTAAAAATGCAAACTAGAGATCTAAGATGGCAGCAGAGTAAGAGCAAGGTCCACTCACCTACTCCCAGGACCAAACTGGAATTACAACTAAATTATAGAACAATCAACTTGAATAACCAATTTAAGACTAGCTGAATATGTCTTATAATCAAAGATTTACAGAAAGAGTTACACAGAGACTAGTGGAACTAGCAGAAACTAAAAAGGACTGGCTCTGCTTCTAAGGGTAGAAGGAGAAATTCCAGAAATCTCAGTTGCAAACATTCCCCTATAGGTGTGTATGGGGCTCAATCCCATTCAAGGCTCCTCAGCCCAGAATACCAGAGCCAGGAAGAGGTGCTCACTTAACATCTGACTATGAAAATCAGTGGAAATTCAATTGGCCAGAGAGAGATGGTAGTCTACTAGAGAAACAGGCACCCTCTAAAAGGGACAGTGCATGAAATCTAGTTCACAGCCACTTATGGACTCTAGCAGAGAGAGGGTGGACCAAACTATAGTTGTATGAGGAAATACTGGGGTTTGTGGCTCTGGGGAGGAAAAGAGAAAACTGCCAGAATCCCTGTACTGAATCCCTCTCCCACACCACAGAAACCATCTTTTGTGGTTGTAGCACTCCCCTTCCCTTATGGCATCAGCCTAGGGAAATTCAATAGCTCCACCCTCTTCACTCCCTATTGCCAAACCCTACAGAGTTCATGCCCTGCTGAGGAGTCAGCTGCCTGGGCCAGGGTGTAGAGGTCTAAGCAAACTCAGGGGTTGTCAGTGACTAACTTGGATGGCTTTGGGGTGAAGGCTACTTCTCTCACTTTCCAATGAACCTGACTGGTGCCTTCCACTCACAGGAGATCCACTAACCTCACCTTCCAGGCTCCTGGCAGCACCACCCTGCTGGGCTTGGGCTCCTGTTAGAATCTGGGGTGGACTAAGTTGTGTAGCTCCAAGATAAGGGCCATTTTTCCCCTTACATGCCCAACCAGTAAAGAACCTTCCTTTCACACAACCAAATCTTGGTCTCTTTTTGCCTGATAAACTCTGCTGGTCTCACCCTACCATAAAAATCTGAGATCACCCAGGAGGGATCAGCTAGACTTGTTATACACTGAGACTTTTGTTGAATCACCTCAGACCCAGAACTAGAACCAAGTTTGAACCTGTTCCACTCTTTTGAACACCACTTACAGTTACCTGGATCACTCACTAAGAACCTACTCATGTAACTCAAGTCCTCCAGAGGCTCTTTCAGTGACTGAGCCTAATAGGAAGCCAGCAAGTGGAGGTAGACCTTGGGGTGTCTTGGGCCTTTTGTTGACCTGTCCCCGAGCTTAGTGCTGGTGGAAGCCAACTTTGGCACACAGCTGGGTACGTCCCCCACACACCAAGGCCCAGAAGAGGCAAACACAAACTGTGGATCTCTTTGTAACTCCACCCAGTGTGCCCAGGACAAGTCACAGGCAGTGCTATCTGACACTGACCTGCACCAAAGTCCCTAACAAAAAGTTCCAGAACATAAATATCAAGTGTCCAGATTCAGATAACATCAGAGCAGGTTCAAATTAGCTTCATAAGTGGCATATCTAAAGGGAAGTCTTGGGAGATAACATACTCTGTTGAGGTGAATTGGGCTTTGGGTCGTCTAGCGCCTGCACAAAAGTTCGTGTACTGTTGTTAAGTTCAGTTTTCACAGTCAGTCAGCCTTAAGCTCAATTCCATGCATGAATAGGCCAATCAAGATTCAATTACAAAGAGGGAGAACTCATGGACATGGGCAACAACCTGGTAATTGTGGGGGTGAGGAGAGATAAGTGGAGGCATAAGGGGATAAATGATGATGGAAAAAATAAAATAAAATATTTAAAATATTAAATTACATAATGAAAGCTCACATAATCCACGCAAGGGACATTCCTAAAGCACCCTGCTCAAGTGATCAAGGAGACTGTGCCACTGGGTCCCTCAGGATACCTACTACATAAGGCCAACCTACCAAGAATGAGAGAACAGCAGATGTACTTAATACATAGAAACAAACACAAAGAGGCAGCCAAAATGGGGAGACAAAGAATATGCCACAAATGAAAGAACAGAAGAAATATTCAGAAAAAAAGCTAAATGAAATGGAGGCCAGCAATTTACCAGATACAGAGTTCAAAAAATTGGTTACATGGATGCTCAAGGAACTAAGTGAACCCTTCATGAAATGTAGTGAGAGCTTCAATGACATGAGAAAGGACATACAGCCCAGCTGGTGTGGCTCCATAATTGCACAATGACCTATGAGCCAAGAGGTCATGATTCCATTTCTAGACAGGGCACATGCTTGGGTTGCAAACTAAATCCCCAGTAGGGGGTGTGCAGGAGACAGCCGGTCAATGATTCTCTCCCATCATTGATATTATTATCTCTTTCTTCCTCTCTTTTCCTCTCTGAAATCAATAAAAACCTGTTTTTTAAAAAAGGAGGAAGAAGTGGAGGAGGAAGAAAAGAAGGTTAAAAGAAAACAGAGGAACAGAGATAAAAGAATAAAATGGCAATAATTACACACCTATCAATAATCACTCTAAATATAAATGACTTAACTACTCCAATAAAAAAGCATAGGGTAGCTTATTGATAAGAAAACAAGACCCACATATAAGCCATCTACTAATACAAGGGACCCACCTCAGAGCAACAGATACAGACTGCAAGTAAAGGAATGAAAAAAAAATTATGCAAACAGAAATGTTATAAAGGGTCATTAGGAATAATTATATCAGGCAAAATAGACTTTAAAACAAAGGCAAAATAAGAGACAAAGGATACTACATAAAGATAAAGGGAGAAATCCAACAAAATGATATAATCCTTGTAAACATTTATGCACCCAACAAAGAAGCACCTAAATAAATAAACCAAATGTTGATGGACATAAAGGGAAAGATAGACATTAATGCATTCACACTAGAGGATTTTAACATACCATTGACATTACTAGATAGATCTTTCACACAGAAAATAATGAAACAGTAACCTTAAATGACATACTAGATCAGAAGAATTTAATTGATGTCTTCATAATGTTTTAACCCATAGCAGCAGTATATACATTATTTTTAGGTGTACATGAGACATTTTCTAGAATAGATCACATATTAAGACATACAACAAACTTCAATAAATTTCTGAAGATCAAAATCTTATCAAGCATCTTCTCTGACCACAATGGTATGAAACTAGAAATCAAATACAAGAAAAAAAAACTGAACAACATACAAACACATAGAGGCTAAATAACATCTTATTAAAAAAATTAATGGGTCAATAATGAGATAAAGGAAAAAAATCAAAAGATATCTTGAGACAAATGAAAATGAACACACAATCCAAAACTTATAAGACACAGTGAAAGCTGTCCTAAAAGGGAAATTCACACCAATACAGGCATATCTCAATAAGAAAGAAAAATCTCAAGTAAATAACCTAAATTTACACATAAAGGAACTAGAGGAGGAACAGCAAACATAGCCCAAAGTGAGTAGAATGAAGGAAATAATAAAGATTAGAGTGGAAATAAATGACATACAAACTAATATACATATATACATAATAATCTATCTATCTATCTATCTATCTATATATATAATTATTATATATATATATAATTATTAAAACCAAGGGCTGGTTCTTTGAAAAGATAAACAGTATTGATGAACTTTTAGCCAGACTCATCAAGAAACAGAGAGAACCCAAATACATAAAATTAGAAATGAAAGAGGTAAAGTAACAATTGACACCACAGCAATACAAAAGTGTAAAAAATACTATGAACAACTATATGCCAAGAATCTGGATCACCTGAACAAAATGGAAAAAAAATTCCTAGAAAAATACAGCCTTCCAAAACTGAATCAGGAACAATCAGAAAAATATGAATAGATTTATTACAACTAATACAATTGAAGCATTCTATATAATAAAGAGCTAATATGCAAATGGTCATCACGCCCTCGCACCCTTGCACCCTCACACTGGGGCCAGGGGACCTAAGGCCAGGCTGGGGGACCTGAGGCCACGTCCTCTGCCCCAGTGCCAGGGTTGGGGGACCTGAGGCCACACACCTCATCCAGGGAATAACAGGGGACCTGAGACTGTGTCCCCTGACTGGTGGGGCTTGATGGGGGACCTGAGGCTGAACTCCCCACCCTGGCACTGGGCTGAGGGACCTGAGGCTGTGCCCCCCACCATGCAGGGCTTGGCGGGGGTGGGGCCTGCCAGGTCTGGGTCTCACGAGATTTTGAGGCTCACGCGGGTGGGCAGGGACTTGACTCTGGGTCCCATGGTGTGCCCCAGACTCTGATAGGAGGGAGATTTTCATATACATTTTACTATTTTTTTTTTCATCTCCGACATTTCTATTATAGAGAAAGGGCAAATAGCAATATAAATATTTCCTCTAATTAATTCCCTTTTAATGTGCATGAATTCTGTGCACCGGGTCACTAGTTAAGAATAAAAAAACTTTCAACAAACAAGTCCTAGACTGTATGGCTTCACAGGAGAACTATATAAAAACATTCAGAGAAGAACTAACACATATTCTTCTCAAACTATTCCAAAAAATTCAAGAGAAGGGAGGACTCTTGAGCTCATTTTACAAGGCTAAAGTTATTTTAATTCTAAAATCAGGTAAAGACACTACAAAGAACAAAAATTATAGGCCAATATCCCTGATGAACATAGATGCTAAAAATCCTTTAAAAATATTAGCAAATGGAATTCAGCAACACATTAAAAGTGTTATACAGCATAACCAAGTGGGATTAATTCTGGGGATGAAAAGTTGGTACAATATACCCAAATCAATAAATGTAATACACCACACAAACCAAATGAAGGATATATATCACATGATCATATCAATAGATGCACAAAAAGCATTTGATAAAAACCCAGCACCCATTTATGATTTAAAAAAAAAAAAAACTCTCAGAAAAGTGAGAATAGATGGAACATACCTCAACATAATAAAGGACATCTGTGAGAAAGCCACAGCCAACATTATACACAACAGACCAAAATTAAAAGTGTTTCTCTTAAAATTGGGACCAAGATAGGAATGCTCACTTTCATCACTCTTATTTAACATAATTCTGGAACTCCTAGCCACAGCAATCAGACAAGAGGAAAAAATAAAAGGCATCCAAATTGGAAATAAATAAATAAATAAATAAAACTGTCATTAATTGCAGATGACATGATACGGTATATATAGAACCCTACATATTTCATGAAAAAACTTCTAGAACTAATAAATGAATTCAGTAAAATGGTAGGATACAAAATAAATATCCAGAAATCAGTTTCATTTTTACCAATAATGAACTATCAGAAAGGGAAACTAAGAAAAAGATTTCCATTCACAATTGCTAAAAAAAAAAAATTTAAAAAAAAGGAAAGAAAGAAAGACCTAGGAATAAAGTTAACCACAAATGTAAAAGACCTGTGCTCAGAAAATTATAAGACATTGAAGAAATGGAATATGATACAAATAAGTAGAAGCACACATTGTCTTCATATATAGGAACAATTAACATAATCAAAATAACCATACAACCCAAAGCATTCTATTTCAATGCAATTCCTATGAAGATACCAATGACATATTTCACAGAACTAGAACAAATCTTCCAAAAATTTATTTGGAACTACAAATGATCCCAAATAGCCACAGCAATTTCAAGAAATAAAAACAGCCCTAACAGTTGGTGAAATGAGCTGATGTGACATTAGAAGAATCTTTCACTTAAAGATAATGCAGCATGGGGGAGGGGGTGGGGGGATAGGGGAAATGAACATGCCCACTAATAATTCATAACTTAAATTTCATTCTCTTTTCCTGTGGGACTTAACAGCTAAATAGTATGACAGTCCTTTACCCAAAGTCATTCTCATTTCAACCTCTTCCTTTTTTAATATACCTAAGTTCGTTCGTTGTACTTTTCAGTTTATAACCAACTATCTGCTCCTGAAAAGCTCTCACAAAATTTGTTTATTCCCTTTTAGTCACATTTCTTACTTCCTATCTCATATTTGCATAGGCAATTACTCTGATGTACGGTATTTTCAACATATATTTGAGTTTGTAGGTTTCTAGCAAGATTAGGAGTTTTGTTTTGACTTTATGTAATTATAATTGAAATGCAAATACAGATTTTAGTTAATAACAATTTATTAATATTGGTTTGTTAAATGT